GCCTGGTCGGAGGGGGCAGGATACATGCAAAATACGGCCTTTTTCAGGCCGACTGGTTTTTTCTCGGCCGCTCATGCACGCGGGGTGGCGCACGCATGAAAATAAAAATAAATGTTTCTTGCTCAAAAAACTCCGAAGATTTCAACAAAAAAATCGGAAAACAGATCGGACACGGTTAAGGGCCCGTACAAATTTAGGTACCCTAACTTATGATACAGAGGAAGTATTGCTATTATTTTCTTTTCTTTGTGGTCACAGCTCGACGAATCCATCCTACCTTTTGTGTCTGACCACCAGTCCTAGACCCCTAGGGAACGTTCCGCACGTTCTCCTGGGAAGATTGTCCTGCGGAGTGATGTCGCTGTCGCGAATACCCCGAGCCACGACTAAAATGTGCAACGTCCCGAGGCACTTTAAGGCGTCAACCGTGACGCTTCCTCGGCTCGTTGCCATTCACTTGTATCCGAGAGGGATGCGAGGGCACACCCCACGTCTCTCCCTGTTCGCTTCTGTCCTCATCTCATCCTGAGATTCTGCCTCTCTACCGAGCATTTCAGTCTGACCGGTCTTTGTCTCCAGCGCCCCATTCTATGGCCGTTGCCTGCGAGGAACGCTTGTCTACAACGCGTTGGAGCTTCACACCTCCTCCCTGCGGTGTTTCGGGGGCTAACCCTTGTTTTGTCATCGTGTCCATTTTTCAATTGCTCTGCCGAAAGGACCGGAGCACGCCGGTAGCACGGGACAAGTCTATACTGTCTTTCCTTGCATCCTGTTTGGGTTGAAATCGATGAAAAGGTATAGGTTTGTCTGCCGGCAAGAACCCGGGACGAGAGCATCCCGGCATTGGCAGGCTACCATGGAACGGTTTGTTATGTTCACTCTCCTTGTGGTATTTGTGACGAACTCTCTGAAGGTGTCAAACACAGCGGTTTACGTCCAACGTGTGAAAAAAATGCTCGAGGCGGACTAATGTTGTTATGGACAAACACCTCAACTTGAACACACCCGCATCTAGTCCACTCTTGTTGCGGCGGCACGACATGGGCGAGACAGACTTTGTCCCATCGCGAAACACCACACCCCCTTGAAAAACGTGACGTTTTGTGTTGCCCGCGCACCGCCCCGTACCGTGTGAAAACTGAAGACAGTAGAAGTGCCACAGCGCAAGAAACACACAGGCTGAGCGATCTTTGGTGCTGTAGGTGTATGTACTCCGGTAGTCACCTGCCGGGAGCCAACTTGTGTGTTGTGGGAGCTGCGCTATGCTAAGAGTTTTTCCGCATTGGCTGTGTCACCTCTCACCTGAGAAAGCGCTCGCTCTGGACGTAGAACGCACTGTGGAGCTGGACCCTGCCGTTCCTGACTTATAGTTGTACACCCTGCTATGTACCGGTGCCGTCAACCTCATCATGTGTGTGCGGCACCGCAGACAGACGTCGTGTAGATGACGCTGAAGAAGGGCGCGAGTGCAAAAATACATACCGATGCTTTCCCAGAAGAGATTCTCAAGAATTTTCTTTGGGCTGAATGAAACATGAAGAAGACTTTGCTGGCGTTTCATCTTTCAACAACAGGAGATCATCGAGGTAACTAATTTTACTAGAGTTGTGAATCGGAACGATGTACACGATATATATCGTCCGATATATATCGATATCGGTATCGAAAATTCGTGCCGATGTTCCGACCGATGTTTTCTTAGGGGCTCCGTGAATCAAATTTAGGGTATGCGCAGCAGTACGGAGCCCCTGTACGCCACACACACACAGCACAGCAGCGCAGAAACAGCAGACAACAGCACCATGTCCAGAACCAACCGGGAAGTAGACACAGGGAGAGACCGAAGGAGGGTACTGCTGAGGATACGCGNAAGACGCACGGCGAGACTCGCGCCTTCGCACGGTGGCACCTGGTGGCGTAGCGAACAGAATGACTCATTTCGCGCGGTCCCGATTGTGCCCGCTGAGTTGGGAATCAGTGTCGTGAAAGCGCGCTGAAACCCGCAGAACTGACGTCTTTCGTCTTCCGTTCGCAAAAAGGTTACAGTCCCGTTTTGCGGGGTTTTGGTATTTAGGTTGGTGTGTTGCCAGCAGGGAGAGAAAAAACACGAACACCCTCAATAGCCAGCACGTACTACCGTCTATTCACCTCTAGTGCGGTTTGTAGCAAGCGCAGTTTTCACGTAGTAGGTTGATCACAGTTCCTGAGCAAGCTTAACGAAGCCGCTCAACGAAGCCGGGAGCGTGTAGCCCTCTCTGCTGCTGTGGGTTCTGGATCCTTAGTTGGGTCAACTTCGCCCAAACTTCTGGAAATAAATATTCGTTTTAGTCTCCTCACCAGTAGAAGTGGAGGATAGGGGCCAGAGGGGCAGACGACAGAGTCCAATGATGGGAGAAAAACAAACAAAAGAAAAAACCGCGCCACGCTCACACGCGCACACTTTAACACAGCAGCCGCTACCCTCCGAGAAGACATGAGTGCGCTATCGAAGGCTTCGCCTCTGAAACGCAAGCCAGTCGAGAGTAGTCAAATCTGATTTTTCTTTTGTTTTGAGTACTTCCTGCAAAGTCTCGGCGTTCCTATCTAATAATACTGGTACATATTTTGTGTTCCTCCATCGGGCCCCTCTGTCATGGGACAATCATCCTTCCCATCAATTACAACACTCCCGCGCTTGGTATCCCGCCTCACCCACCATCCACACCACTTCCCTTCCGCCATCACCTAGACACAGCAACCCAGAGGATGGGGGGGCCGATAGGCCCCCCACGTCCGGAGACCCTTGTACACCTCTGTTTTTGTTTTTGTTTTATTTTGATCGGTTTCCGCGGGCTCGTTTCTCGAACGGTCGGCGCCGTAACTGTTATTTTCTTTTTTTCATATTGTTTTTCCGAGTGTTTTGTACCAAAGGTATTTTTTATATGTTTCCCCGCGGCGTCGTACTATAGATATAGTGCCGGGTTTTGGGACCACGGGCTCCCCATATTTTGTGGACTTGTTTATAGGCTTATACCTGATATGCGGATTTTTTTTTTTTTAATGCGGATTTTTCTGGCTGAGCATGTGCTTACAGCAGCGAATTATGCACGCAGTTATGCTTGTTTTCCAGTTTTATGTGTGTACTTATGCACGTGCTTTCTGCCGACGGTGTTGCTTTTACATGACGTTGAGGGTCACTGCGCGAGGTACGCACGTGCCCCTGTCTTTCCCGACACATTGAAACACGTGGTCTTGCTGGTTGTCGATTCTGTGCTCTGTGTTATTCTGATTTCTTCACCGTGATCCGTGATCCGTGATACGTGATATCGCAGAAAAACAAACAGAAAAACAAGCGTACAGCGACACCACACGAACAGACAGCGCCAGACACCAGACCTAACGACCTAACCAGACACCGTGGTTACAGGTTACACCCAGCTCTTAGCACGCCCTATTCCTATTTTCCCCGGCCTCTGTTGTACTTAAGAAGAGCGGACGCTGCCACGCGGTCACTAAAGCTCTTCTCCTGCCTAGCATCCATACAAGCACGCAGGATGGAAAAGACACGTTCCATGAAGGCAGAGGACGGTTGGAGCAAAACGATGTCCTTCGCAACTCCATACCAGTGACAAAGGCTACTCTTGTGCCTGTTGTCATGCCAGAATGACCACAAGTCGTAGCCGGTATCAACTCCAGAGGCGGCGATATTGTAATCGTCCATCTGATCTTTTAGTCTCGCGACATCATTTTCCGTAACGAAGGGGAAGCGACAAAGGAGGTCGATGTCAGCAACATGCAACTGATGCTGCTTCACGTAGCGGAAGTCAAGGAGCCGTGCAGCCTNTCCTGATGCACCCCTATCCTCAAAATGAAGCAGGCATAACCACGTTTATGCACAGTATCCCCATATATGCGCGACATTATGCGCCAAAAAAGAATAGTATGCACGGTCGACATTATGCGTTTGCCTATGCGCGCCAAGGCCGTTTATGTCGAAAACAATGCCCGCATATCAGGTATAAGCCTACTTGTTTATGGTAATGTGAGAAACAACAACAACACATATCTACACTCTGTTGTACCAAGGCCGCTATCCTCACAACCACCACCACCCTGCCCCTCTCTGCCATGTATCGTCGCTCATCGAAAGCTTGCTTCAAGAATGTCCCATACTCCTCGCAATCCTGCCTCTTCCGCCACGCACTGCCGCCACTCCCGCCGGCCGCCGGTCACACCCCCTCCTCCTCCTGCCGCGCTGCAGTGGCGGTGCTGCTTTGCTGCTGCTCATCCTGCTCCCGTCAAAGAGATCATCGATCATCGACCTCACCTCCTTCGTAAACTATACCCTTGAAACGACGCACAAGCTCGACTGCGAGGTCGATCGAGATCAACTGCTGTGACCGCCCATCTTGCCCTTCAACCTGTGGTGGACATGACTTCACCACCTGTCAGTCCAGAGTGCACAACAACAAAAAAAGACGTACGTAAGCAAACGCAAGTGTCTATTCGCACGTCTGTACCGTGATGCCCACAGCAGAGCGGCTCCTTCAAGATGAGGCACCACGATTGTAGATGAAATTCCGTACACCACAACAACGCTAGATCTTAGCAGTGAAAGGCTTCAAGTCGGCCCAAGAAATAGGGAGAGGACTAGAAAGAAGCCAGAAGCGGACCGCCCCGAACGACGCGGTGGAACCTCAAAACGGAGCCGACGGCCGACGGCACTTTCCTGGGGAACACGAGAACGCGCGGTAACCTTGCTCGCCAATTGGCACGAAACATGGCACGAATGCGTGCTGTTGGGTGCAGGTGCCGATGAACAACGAACGGTCGTTCATTACAACACTACTATCTCGATAAAGCGATTTCTCACAAATGATGGTGAAAAAATTGCGAAGGCTGCGGCTAGACTACTTCTCACCACCTTGTTGTATTGTAGCGATAGTACCCGCAAAGAACGACAGGTTGCAGTCTAACCCAAAGAGCGTAACAAAAGAACGCAAGCAACATGTGTTTGTTGGTCGATGATTTCACAAATTTTCTTCAAGAAGAAGGAACGTCGCGACGCGGAAATAATAGGGGCTGTTTTCATCGCTCCAATTTTTTTTTCCGAAGTTTCCAAATGTTTGGAGTCAAATATTTGGGCCGCCTGTCTGTCCTCCATCGGCCGATTTGCTTGTATGACGGAGAATAAGAAGGTGGAATTACTTGAAATTAGTATAGAAATAAAGTTTGTGTATCTAAATCGAAAATAAAACGGCCGATGGAGAACAGGCCTCCGCCGGGGCCCAACCCCCAACATCTTCATTATTAACGCGCCGCAAGGCAACTTTCCAAATCAATCTCGCCGCATGTGATGGCGAGGTGGCATGTGCCCCTGAAAACACAACACGCACGCCGCAGATAACGGCCCCACACGCGCGACACCATGGTAGGGTCCAACAAAGAGAGGGGTAGTAGTCATCAAGGGCAAATCCCGGCAGGATTTTGCGGGCGGTTAACGGCGCTGCCGTAGGTCGAGCCGCCTTCGGTTTCCCTGCTCGGCCGGCCGCCAGGCAACACCTCAGGCCAAGGCGAGCAAGCGCGAAGCAGCAAGATGCCGAGAGCATGCCCCACTTGCTGGATAGCGTCAGCCAGGTTGTTGAAAGGAGAAGCCATCATGTCTCGGGCATCGAGGTTGCAGCAGCAGGTGTGTGAGAAGCTTGTTTTTGTCTCTCTCGCAATCTGTCTACATACGTGTCCGCCTAATGTGGTGTGTCCGCCTGTGTGTGTGTTTTTATTATTAGCATCGACCGCGCTAACCGGCTGACCAAT